CGAGTTGACGGTGACAGCCCGAATACCACTTTCTGACACGGCGCACCAAACTGTGACTTTCTCACTATGCAGAGGCTTTTCGTGTATCTCTCTTGGGTTTTCGGCACACCAGAACTGAAAATTTTGTTTGTTCACGCAGCCAGACAAATAAAAATGTGCCTCGTCACTAAAAAAAACCGCCTCCTGAGGTAACTTTGCAATCATGTCTTGACATGCAGCTAGTCGATTGTTCCAATCACGTGGTGATAATTCCTGTACAATAACCATCTTGTATGGATGAAAATGTAGGTCTTGATGAAGAATTCTTCGTAAAGAGCGATTAGAGAGGCGAAGGGCGTCTGCATGTCTGCGTGCAGAGCGGTTGGGCGAGTGTTCGTGGACGTCCACCTCCTCTCCTGATAACAGTTCCAGTTGCTCTGAAATTTTTCACGCACAAAACAATTGATTTTCGGTCTGGCACTGGTCGGTTACGAGGAATTTCAAATTGCATACGGAAGGCTCGTTGTGCAGCGATAACGGATCCATTTTCGTGGATGTACGCTTCCACGGCGAAAGCGCGCTGTGCGTCGGTCCACATGCTGTTTCAAACTGAAACCTGTTCTAACCTGAAACTGTTCAACTTGCCGCTTGTACTGACGCTATCCCCACTTCCATTCGGTGCCGCCCGGTTGGGCCTTACTTTTTTGAAGAAGGTAATCGGGCTGTCACCGTCCACTCGGAACGCTACGTAGCGATGATTCAGAATTTTTTTGTCCCATCTCTTGCAGAATTCAATGTGCAGAATGCCTGGTTTCAGCAGGATGGGGCGACAGCCCACACATCCCGAGCATCATTAGGCATTTTGAGAGAACTGTTCCCCGGACGCTTGATCTCCCTTAGAGGCGATATTCCTTGGCCTGCGCGCTCCCCCGAACTTCAAAAAGCGCTTGCGGCAATGCTGTGATAATGGTGGAAAGCACCTTGTCGATATTATTTTCAAAACCACATAAAATAAAACTGTATGAGTTGCACTTTTAAGATTTCAAAATAAATCCATAGTATTCCAAATACCATTTGTTTTATTAAGCTTTGAAAATAGGGAGACAGTTATGCCCCACCCTGTACCTTTCTCCGTATGATCATTGTCTCTTTGTAGATCCTTTGGGCTTGGAGTACCTATCCTCCTTTTTGCGGATTTTGTATATATATATATATATTGGAGGTCGGAGGTCCTGTTGGTGTAGACTTTGTAATATTTGATGATTATATATATATATATATAGAGAGAGAATATGATCATGCGGCGAAAGGTATATAACAACAAGTAGGAAAATAATGGGCAAAATCCGCAAAAAGGAGGAAAGTGGATTCGAGCAGAAAATAGGATAGGTAACCCGAGCGATACGTATTTCTGCTGGTTGGCTTCATCAGGCCCGAAATGAATGCACATATGAAACTACAAAAGTAGGTACACATGCCCACACATCCGGATACGGGTGTAACCTGAGGAAACTAAGTTGGAGGGAGAAAAACGGCACACGAAGTCCACAACAAGAGCCAACCTACACATTGTAGTATAAAATGGCTATACGACCTCGAATTTTCAAGGAGACGTCTAACCACAACCACGCGGCCGGTTATAGCCACTTGCTGTGGTACTTCAAGCCCAAAGGATCTACAAAGAGAATATGATCATGCGGAGAAAGGTATATAACAAAAAGTAGGAAAATAATGGGCAAAATCCGCAAAAAGGAGGAGTGGATTCAAGCAGAAAATAGGATAGGTAACCCGAGCGATATGTATTTCTGCTGGTTTACTTCATCAGGTCCGAAATGAATGCACATATGAAACTACAAAAGTAGATACACATACCCACACATCCGGATACGGGTGCAGAAATACGTATCGCTCGGGTTACCTATCCTATTTTCTGCTCGAATCCACTTTCCTCCTTTTTGCGGATTTTGCCCATTATTTTCCTACTTTTGGTTATATACCTTTCTCCGCATGATCATATTTTCTTTGTAGATCCGTTGGGCTTGAAGTACCACAGCAAGTGGCTATAACCGGCCGCGTGGTTGTGGTTAGATGTCTCCTTGAAAATTCGAGGTCGTATATCTATTTATACTACAATGTGTAGGTTGGCTCTTGTTGTGGACTTCGTGTGTCATTTTTTCCCACTCCAACTTCATTTCCTCAGGTTACACCCGTATCCGGATGTGTGGGCATGTGTATCAACTTTTGTAGTTTCATATGTGCATTCATTTCGGGCCTGATGAAGCCAACCAGCAGAAATACGTATCGCTCGGGTTACCTATCCTATTTTCTGCTCGAATCCACTTTCCTCCTTTTTGCAGATGTTGCCCATTATTTTCCTACTTTTTATTATATATATATATTTATATATGTAAATGCGCTAAATGCGGGTGAGTGCAATATTGTTTTATTATTAGAAATAGAAGTACACTTTTTGTACACATAATCAAGTGGCCTTAGTTTCAGGTATTCATTTCCATACTTTCTGAAATTAAAACAAAGCATTTCTTCTAGTGAATGGTTATACAACCTGCTTCTGGACAAAAAGACACATCGTTGGTAGAACATGATCCCATACATAATGTTGGGGTTATAAAATTCGGAAGTTTTTGTTTTGTTATGAAAGCATCCTCTATCAATATCAAGTTCTCAAAATTTTTTGACATCTAAGATTTGTCAGAGCACATATACATCATTCAGTAAAATGCAGTTAGTTTTTTAAATTCTAAATATCCAAATATCGATTCAAATCTGAATAAAATAATTCATCAAAACTAGGCAAACACTTTTACCTGAACTAATTAAACGAATTTAATAAATATAGTTTTACTTGGAACAGGTAAAATCATTTCAATAGTTCATTGATTTTAAATGAACTGGTGTAATCAATCTAAGTAAACCGTTTAATAGAATTTAATTAAATGATTGCGTTTTGGTTTAATTAAACTAGTTTCATAGATTTAAGTAAATTGTTTTAGAAATTAGAGTTTAATTAAATTAATTAGACTTGTTAGCTGTCACATGGTTAATTATATTTTTTGACAGACCTAATCAAAATTTCAATTGGTTTGATTAAATTTTCTTCTCAGTGAAGATTTTCTCCCAGCGCTTGGGAAGGAATCTCGGATTGTCGAGCTGGTAGTTCCTTAATAAATGAGAAATGCTTATAGTCTAATCATATTAGACGAAAATACCGCTGGTTTGCGAAATAATAGTAAAGTCTGGTTTTATTGCTGCAAGTGGTTCAAGGGATATTTAAAACATGGACGCATAAAATGGGTAACACCAATTTTTGTGGGAAAACTTTTTATTCGCCAACAAATAATGAGAAAACGTGTTTTTTGGGTTTCAAAAGTGTTTTGCAGGAACGAAAAAACTCTACAAATAAGATTTTTAGATATTCATGAGACCTTCAAAATGAGACCACGCGTAAAAAGATGCGACTAATAGCAAAATAATTATGGCCGAAAACCGAGGCAAACTGCAGGTTTTGGCGCTTGTTGGTAATACTACGATGGTTTATCGCAGATACTTGAAATCCTTCAAATTTGTAGGATTCATACTTCTAAATGACCACAACAAAATTGGAATAGACTAGTCAAGTAGTTTTTGAGAATTTCTAATTGTTTATCCCAAAACACCTGTTGTCCGGCCAGTTTATTGAGCAATAGGGGTTTGTTCAAAGGGCATTTTATAGCAAAATACACTAGTTTACCTAGCCAATATGAATCACAAACCATTCCAAAAGATAAATGTTACTTTTATGCGAAACACAAAGGTTACGTATCTTTCCTTCTATACAAATTCAAAAATTTCGTATTTGTGAGTGACACATCCGCTTAATTTTAAAATTTGTATAGTAAAGTCTGTTTTTCGAAGCATTTGTTCACTTGCTCACAAATATGAAATGTTTGAATTTGGTTAGAAGAAAAAAACGTAATCTTCGTTTTTCGCATAAAAATAACATTTATCTTTCGGAATTGTTCGTGATTCATGTCGGCAAGGTAAGCACGTGTATTTTGCTAATAAATGCTTTTTGAACGAACGCTGTATATTGCTCAATAAGCTAGTAGTGATGGCCGGAAAACAGGTGTTTTGCGATAAACAATTAGAATTTCTCAAAAACTACTTGACCAATATACCCCAATTTTGTTGTTGTTATTTAGAAGTATGAATTTTACGGATATGAAAAATTTCAAGTAGTGGCGTGAAATTATCGTCGCATTACAAACAAGTGCCAAAACCTGCTTTTTGCCTCGTCTTTTGACCATAACATTTTTGCTACTATTCGAATCTTTTCACGTGTGGTCTCATTTTGTAGGTCTCATAAATACCTAAAGATCTTATTTGAAAAAGTTTGTCGTTCATGTCAACACTTTCGTTTGAATCCCAAAAAACACGTTTTCTCATTATTTGTTGTCGAATAAAAAGTTTTCCCACAAAAATTCGTGTAACCATTTTATGCGTCCATGTTTTTAATACCCCCTGAATAACCTACACTAATAAAACCAGACTTTACAACTATTTCGGGGATATTTGCTAATATGTTTAGACTATTATATGCTTGAACCATATAGATCAGGAGTTCCCAACGAGCGGGGCGCGCCTCCTAAAGGGGGCATAGAGAGATGTCAAGGGGGGTTTAAAGCGTTTGCATTTTTAGACAAAAAAAATGAATAAACAACATTAACAAATAACATTACAATGTAATGTTTAATTTACACGCATAAAATTAGAAATTAAATATCATATTCACTTATTCTGTCAACCGCTGTTTCAAAACCCGGCGTCGTCAATCGCAGTTTATATACGAGTAAAACGAGTCAAAACATGAAATACGCGCGCACACCCGCCGCGCTCCGCTTAACATTCATCACTTAGATAACAATTGTGAACCTACAAGACGCGAATGAGCATCTGTGACATTAATTTCCACAAACTTGCGAAAAATTTGACGTTTCGATCTACATGTTTTGTTGAGAAATCTGTTTGAGTGTGTCAAATTATTGTGTCTCACTGTTAAGGTAAGTTTGTGTATTTACTAACTTCAGTTACCATTTTTATTTAATTTACTAAATTGTTGATTGAGTGGAGATGCGTTCATAGATCGGCCATTGGGACTTTTTTACCACATCACAATCAAACCAAAGTGGCGAAATAATTTTGAATCGACGAACTTTAAGTACCTAGTATTGATTCCAAATGTATTTAAAATTACTATTATAACGTCAACCTGCCTACAAAAATGTAAATCTCCTGGTGGCCAATATGCTGGTGAATACATTACGTTATTAAGATAAAATAATGGACATATAATTAGTAATGACATGTAAGTATTTTGCTTATTTATTACTTATTTGTTTTATTGTTATAGGAGCAAAACGGCAGCGAAAAAAAAAAGAAACTTTTCCGAAGAATACGTTAAGTTTGGATTTACCTTAATAGAAAAAGACGAGTTACAATTGCCTCAGTGTATGATATGTATGAAAGTTTTACGTCATGATAGCATGAGGCCCAATCGCGTTGAAAGGCAAAATAAGCCTCATATCATCGGTAAAGAATTAATAAAACCATGTGTCCTAAAACCCACGCATCTAATTTTAGGAGAAGATGCAGAGCAAGAAATGAAGTCTATTTCTCTTTCGAATAACACAGTCAAGCGTAGAATCGATGACATTGCAGCAGACATAAAGTCACAAATAATTAACAAAGTAAAGTTGTCGCCATTTTTGCTTTTATTTGTGATGAATCCACCGACATCATTAATTCTGCACAGTTAATAGTTTATGTTCGTTACATCGGTGGAGATATCATTCAATAAGAGATTTTGTACTCCCAATCTTTTAATCTTTTAATTCAATATCAAACTTTGTTGAAAAAAATTATTTGGATTGGAAGAAGCTCACTGGACTTTGCACAGATGGCGCACCTGCAATGACAGGTGTACGATCGGGCTTAGCTAAAAAGCTCACGGAAAAAAATATCGCAATGGTTAGTACACATTGTTTTATTCAGCGGCAAGCTTTGGCTTCTAAAATATTGCCACAGAAATTTCGACAGACTTTGGACTCGGCTATAAGGATTGTAAACTACATCAAGTGCAGCGCTTTGAACAGTCGATTATTTACTTTCCTTTGCGAGGATATCGATTCTGATCACAAAGTTCTTCTGTTCCATACAGAAGTACGCTGGATGTTTAAAGGCAACATATTGGCTCGTCTCTATAAATTGAAAAAAGAGGTAATAATTCTTTTTCTTGAGTTCAAAGAAAAACACGATTTCTTAACAATGTTCAAAGATGACACATTTCAATGGAGGTTGGCTTATATAACTGACATATTTGACTCGTTGAATGAGCTAAACTTGAAACTTCAGGGCAGAAACAACACATAAGAACAAAGAAAGCGACAGGCGCATAGCTTCAAATGAAGATAGTTATATGATCAAGGCGCAGGAAACCGAGGTAAATGGAATTCGAATATGCCATTTATGTTAAATGTCAGAAGCCTCCGAAATAAAGTAGATGACTTGGATCTTCTTCTCCATGAAATCAATTTTCCTGAGGTTCTATGTGTTTCTGAAGTTTGGTGTGATGCAGATGAAATAGGTAACATTCATTTGACTGGTTATGTTATAACTGACTACTTCACTCGTGTTAATAAGAAAGGAGGTGGTGTAGCAATTTTTATCAAAGATTGTATCACTTTTAAAGTGAAATCAAACAAGGTAATTAAAATAGAATCTATGTTTGAGTATGCGTTAACATCTGTCAAGTATAATAGTAATAATGTGACAGTCGGATCTATTTATCGATCACCTAATTCAGACGTTTCTGCATTTTTAGATTATCTGGATAGCTTCATAAGTGTTTTGGGTAACAGCGCAGTATTTATATGTGGAGATTTTAACATCAGTTTTGACGTAGGCATTAATGATAAAAATGCTGTTGCATGTAAAAATATATTCAAGTGTTATGGTTTTGATCCTCTATTTTTTAATCACACCCGAGTCCAAAATAATTCGGGTACTACAATAGATAATATTTTTTGTAATGGCGACTCGCTGCGTTTGAAGGCTGAAATTGAACCATGTGACCTATCCGATCATTTTTTACAAATAGCTGAGCTAATTTTTGATGAGTCCAGCATGTGCTCATACAGCAATTATATATCAAAAAGGTGTTTTGATGACGAAAATAAGCTGTACAATTTTAGGCTGTTACTCTCATATCAGGACTGGGGCTGCTTGGAGAACCTGGCATGTTGTGATATTAAATTTTCTTTATTCCATGATATTTTCATAGGTTTAATGGATAAGGCATTTCCGTTAACTAGCTTCAAATTAAGTAATAAGCCCATAAGAAAACCTTGGGTGAATGAAAAAATTATCGAGGAGGGTATACTTCTGCGATATATCCATGCTGCTTATAAATATACAGGAAGTGCAGACTTACACGAACGATACAAAACTCTGAAATTTATACACAGACGTAAAATTCAGGAAGCTAAAAGCAAATACCATGCTGAAAAAATCCAAAATTCCTCAAACATGCCTAAAACTGCATGGAATTTAATAAAACTACACAGTGGGTCTAGGATTAAGAGTCCAAACGTTAATTTTCTTAGAGATGATGGATCACAGCTCGTTGGCAAAGAGTTAGCTGACTCCTTTAATAATTATTTCTTGGAATCTGTGCAATCTTTAACGCAAAATCTCAATATTGATACTAGTACCAAGCATATCGCTAAAAACCCTTTTTCATTATTTCTTCATCCATTGAGTCACAGCGAAACCATAAACATTATCAGTGAGATTTCAAAAAAATCATCCATTGGCGATGACGAAGTACACTGCTCGCTGCTAGCAAAAGTAGCAGATCTATTAACCAAACCAATTTGTTATCTCATTAATAGCTCTTTTACTGATGACGTGTTTCCATCAAGTCTAAAAAAAAACAGTTATCGTCCCTATTCACAAAAAGAATGATGTAACTGTCATAGCCAATTACCGAGGAATTGCACTTCTCTCTGCGTTTTCTAAGGTGTATGAGAAAGCCTACTATTCCAGACTTGTTCAATTTATTTGTCAACAAAACTTACTTAATTCAGTGCAGTTTGGATTTATTGAAGGACGGTGCACGTATAATTGGATTAAAACAGAATAGGATGCAATCAGTAAAAATCACTAATAACTTTGAATCATATAAATCTGATGCCAAGATAGTATCAACAGTGGTGCCTCAAGGGAGCACTTTAGGACCTTTGTTATTCATTTTGTTTGTCAACGATATTTCGACTTCTTGTCCTGGCGTATTCAAAACACTTTTTGCAGATGATACTACATTCAGTACTCATGCTTCCTATCCTCACTCATTACAAATAATGCTTTCTGTCAAATGAGAAATTATTGTAACTCCAATGGCCTTATCTTAAACTCACAAAAAACTGATGTAGTTCTATTCAGAAATATAGATTTAAATTTCAGCCTACGTGTTTATAGCGAGGGATATAACTTAAGACAGAACAACTACACAAAATTCCTTGGTGTTTATTTAGATACTAAGCTAACATTTGGTAAACATATTGAGTGTTTGATCAAGCGATTGTCAACCCAATCATTCATTATATGGCAGCTTCGACGTCACGTAAGTACTCAAATATTAAAGCTTTACTACTTCGCTCACGTCCATTCCACACTAAACTATTGCATTGTTGCTTGGGGTGGTAGTAACAGGGTTGGTGAATTATTTATAGTACAAAAAAGGATTATCAGAACCATGTTGCTTAAAAACTCCAGGCATTCATGCAGAGAATTATTCAGTTATAGTCAAAATCACGAAAGATGACTATTACGTCATACCATAAATTGTACTGAAGTAATCAATGGACGTACGTCGATGATAAAATCACGATGTCAGGAACACAATGACAACAAATTTATATTATGATTTTGCGAGGTTAGGTTATTTCACTGATTATTTTTATTTCATGGTTTTGGGTGATACCTTAATAATAATTTTAGTGCAGAGTTTTTGTTTTGAAAAAAAACCAGTTATGAGTAGAACCTTAAGACAGGAACACCAAAGACCAAAGTATTCGAAAACAACCTAACCTGCTTTAACATAACCTAACTATTCATCTTTCAAATATGATCGATCATGCATCGTGGAAACATCGTCTTTCTTTATCGGATACATGCAAGTTAGCAATACAGTCTGTTTAGAAAATTCTGTTTGTCTCTGTCTAACATATCTGAAACTTCATTAAAAATATTCACAAATCGCTGTCGTTTGTCTTTACTACACGACTAAAATGATGACGTAATCGTCATCTTTCGTGATTTCGACTATACCTGAAGATCATGACAGTATACTCGTTGTATGTTTATAAGTGTGTCGTTTATGTTAAAGAAAATTACGAAAGCTATGTCTCCAGAAATGATGTGGCTATCAGCTCTGGTTATAACCTCCACACAAACCACAATGTAGTTATACCTACTCACAGGCTTGCCTCTATCTCCAAAGGGGCTTCTGTCATGCCTGTGAGATTGTTTAATCACTTACCCGTGTCGATTAAGGGCATGGTATCTATTTCAGTCTTCAAACGCAAAGTACGAGATTTGTTGCTATATCCATTTTACTCTGTTGATGAGTACCTCAACCATCAATTTTAATTTACATTTTATCGTGCTCTTGTCGTGCTGTTTATGTACTCTAATATTGTTAGATATCCTATATGTTTTTAATAATGTGACTTGATTTATTTATGTAAATTTAAGATGCGGAAGTATATATATATATACATATCTATATGTATATTCAACCCATTCAGTGTAATGTTTATTTATTTATGACACTTTCCCATACTTGTTTGTACAAGTCGAATGGAAATATATTATTATTATTATACTATAATAAGCACTAATGATTATATTCAGGGGTTCATATCAAAGCTTCAACTTTGGAATCAAAAAGTGTCTTCTGAAAATGTTATATCTTTTTTTAGGCTGTTCGAAGCAATTAAAAATAACATACTGGACGCAAATTTAAAAGCTGACATAAAAACTCATTTGCAAGCGCTGGAAGACGAATTTCGAGACCTGAATGCAGAGTCATCAATATGGCACATGACAAGAAATCCATTTGTTGTCGATGTGTCACACCAGAAGAAGTTCAGTAAGAATTTCTAGAAATGAAGGCTGATTCGTCCATGAAAGATGACTTCCATCTTTTAACATTGAAGAAATTTTGGATCAAAAGATTACCTGTTAATTCGACACTTGCCTCTGTTGCTTTACAAATACTAGTTCCTTTTCCTTCAACTTACTTGTGTGAGACAGGCTTTTCTGCTCCAGTTTTAATTAAAACTAAACAGCGAAATCGCCTTGATGTCGATAGCAGCCTGATGATAGCTCTGGCAAAAACAGAACCTAGAATCAACCAACTGGTACAGAACATGCAATCTCAAGTGTTTCATTAGTATCTACTCTCATTTTATTCAAGTTTTTCGATAAAGAACATTTGTTAGTTTATTTAGACTTTTAAAAATGTTTTATTAGAATTAAAATAAAAGTCTTGGCCTATATAATGTGCGTTTTTTTGTATTTATTGAAAAAGCAAAGGGGGGCATAGAAATATAATTTATAGTCCGGGGAGCCTCAACAAAAAAAAGTTGGGATACCCTGATATAGATGGTATGTACTTCAAGGTTAGTTCTACGGATGAAGTACGATGACCCGAAGTCAAATTTTCCATTAGGAGGAAAATTTGGAGCCAATCCAGACAAGGAAGCGAAAGATCTTTTGGAAAAGGCGAGATTGCTCGGTTTGGAAGTGATTGGGGTTTCCTTTCACATTGGATCGGGAAACACCCACCTTGATGTCTATAAAAAGGCTATCGTAGCCGCAAGAAAGGTTTTTGATACGGCCGCAGAACTTGGCTATCAATTCAAGTTGTTGGATATCGGTGGAGGGTTTTCTGGTAATACGGGATCTTCGATTAACGAGGTAAGCTAAAATGTACCCTTTAGGTTTAGGAGCCTTAGCTTGGATTTGCCAAATTTTTTATGTACATAAACAATTATCGTTGTAGTCACCGTTCTTGGTGGTTACGTCATCAACGCCATATGAAATAAGTAAACAGATCGAGTCTCCATACCATGGGCGCAGACTAATCTACAGAGCATCTGCTACTTTCTCCAGTACGCATGAAGTGGGTAACAGGAGACAGCTGTTTTCATTCTTTTCCTGGAAATACTCTAATAAATTTAGCACGACCTCTGTCGGCCTCCTCCATTGATCGTGCTTCCGGGCATTGTACAATTTTATATTGAAGATTGATAACAGGACAACTCAAATTGCACGCCGATGTCAAGTAAGTTGTCACGCGGACAAATATGATTGACGGGCACTCATTCGTAACGACAAAGTTTTTGAGACGGAGACACACAACTAAAAAACGTATGTCTTTGAGCTAACCGAACAAACGTTCACACACAGAGGTAGGTTGCATGTGTATGTGTATGTGTATGTAGGAGGGATATGGAGATATGTAAAGGAATACTGGTAGTCTTACTTACCCGCCAAAGATGGTGACTACAACTATAGCTGAGGCTCCACGACAACTACCAACCTCTATCAGTAATTTCTTGTCAAGTACGACAGAACGTTCCTTCTAAAATAAATGGATAGGTATATAGATAGATAATGTTTATGGTATTATTGGTCATTGCAAATTAAGACTTGTCAACCTCATACAGTACATAAATAAATTGCACGTCGCGCTCAGTTGTATAAATATAACAATGTCAAGAAATAAACAAATAGCTAAAACAAAAAAAAATACTAGTTACATAGACGGATTTTTACATATGCAATGAACATATAACAAATATGTTAAGAACAATTACAGTAAACAGATAGATCGATTAGAACATCTACAAATAGAAAAAAATAAAGGTTGTCTCATGCCTGCTAAAATAATAATAACCATACTGGATAGGCAATTAGTAAAGCATTGGTCACAGTTTAGGCCCGTATCGTCAGTCGTTCCTACAATTGTAGGGCGCCTTTATGGCCTCCTTGATTGTCATAACGCTTTCTCTCCTTCAAAAATATCTAGATTACACTTGTCCCGTGTCAGCGTCAGCGCTCTCCTATTGTGAAGATATGTTTTCCTTTTAAATTGTAGGAAATTTCAGGCTGATAAAACATGATATAACTCAAAAGCAAGCACAATTTGATGCAAATAGATGTTTGTGACATAACCTCAAAATAGAGCACTGACATGGAAAAATAGAAAACTATGACAATCAAGGAGGCCATAAAGGTGCCCTACAATTGTAGGGACGACTGACGATACGGGCCTTTGAGACATAAATCTTCTCAGACGTTTCTTCAATATAAACATGTTGGTGCTTCTGTGGAACTCGGTAATTTATTATAGTACATAGACATTTCTAAGGGAAGCCGAGCTTCCATGGCAGAAGTAGGGTCACACTTTAAGGACGGCGCGTGGAAAATTACGTTAATATACTAAATAATATAGAAAATGCAACACCGACTAGGAGTGCTGTAATTTTGAGCATACTTTTACAAGTTTACAAGATCTACTAATAAATAGAAAGTAATTAAAATCTTGACTCGAAATTTCGCAAAATAGCTGAGATACCCCTTAATGTTAATAATGTGTTGAAGCTCCTCTACACATTCGTTAAGTCGTCGCGGCATTGATTGGATTAGGTGACTGATGTCTTCTTGGTGTATTGTATCGCAGGCCATCTGAACTTGGTTTCGTAGAGCCTCCAATGTTTTTGGAGGGTGAGGTGAATTGTGCAAGCTTCTTCCCATCATGTCTCATACATGTTCGATGTGGGAAAGGTCTGGAGATCGAGGAGGCCACTGAAGCAGATTTACTCGGAGCGCTTCTAAAAAGTCTAAACTAACACGTGCGACATGAGATTGTGCATTGTCCTGCTGAAAAAGTGGACTTTCAATGTTTACAAAAAGGGAAGCAAATGCCGTGAGCAACGGTACCCCATATCACAATACCCACAGTGCGTTGAATATGCCGTTCGTCTTTCACCACGACTCCTCCTTACTCTTGCACGGCCATCATGTGTGCCAGAACAGAATCTGGACTCATCGCTGTGAACACGAATGAGTTCCATTCTATATTACATTCAAGTCTCTTCCTACTGCATACTAATCGTTGCCGACGATGCTGTGGTGTCAGAGATAGTACAAGATGGGGACGATATGAAAGCAGTCCAAAAGACCTTATTCGGCGAAGAACTGTCATTGTTATTGTCCTTCCGACAGGATGAAATCACTGGTTCGCAACTGCACTTGTTGTGGAAAATCGATCTGTAAGTGCTGGTTGCCCCAAATACATGTCACTCTGTAGTCTACCTTTGACGTTCAGTACCTCTAAGTCGTCGATTTCGGCCTTCTTGGAGCCACGCTTCACCCGATTAGCGATTTCTCTAAAAGAAAATCCGGCATCAAGTAACCCGATTATCTGACCCCTCTCAAACTCGGAAAGTTGAGTGGAATTAGCGCGATTGTGAACTCCAGACATGATAATGCTATGAAACAACAATAAAACAGATCGAACCAATACATAAAAATCACTGAATATTAAGTAAACATGTTCACATTGTTCCTGATATGACAAAAAAGCTTTTACAAAAAAAATTACGGCTAGGAATGCGTTCAACATTTTATCAGCGTATACCATGATAGCAAATAAGTTTTTATCAAAATTCAATAAATAATTCTGGGTGTTGCATTTTATATGTCACTTAGTCCAAAAACTTTCGTCTCAACTTTGGAGTAAAATTTTTGTTCTGACCTTGTTCATAGGATCACACTAGAATATACTTTTTGGATTCCGTCGAAGCAAAATTTAAAAAAAATTCGGTCCCTATCAGAAACAAAATATAGAAAATGTTTATGTTTAGTGATGCCTATTTTATATTTGCAGGTGGGAGTCGCTGTTAATGAATTTATAGATCAATACTTTCCGGATCCGTCTATTAAAATAATAGCAGAGCCAGGACAGTATTTTGTGATATCGGCATTCACTTTAGTCACCCAAATCCATTCGAAAAAATATCTGTCTATTCAAAATGATAGCGAACCGATCAGGACGTACTATGTGGACATCAGTGTATTCAACTCTATTATCCTAGGTACGTATTATTATTATTAAACCTACTTATTATTTCCGCTAAAAATGGGTAATCTTCAATGATTTCGGGAGTCGTGTTACTTCTTAGTCTTCCGACCAACGATCGTTCGTGGTTTTTCGATCTTTGACAACACTAATAAGAGAATCAAAGTTCATCCATCCCATCGCCCTTTGCATGAATCTTTGATATTCTATAATTCTGCTCAACAATATCATTACAATCTCATGTCAGCATCTAAGGTATGTACTCGTATATGCAAGCTGATGGTCGGCGACCAGTGTTGCAGTGTTTTTCTGATTTGGTTTGCTTATTGTTGTGTTGGTATTTGCCGAAAGTGTGTAAAATGTGTGATAAAAAAAGTAATAATACCCGTATTTATATTGATACCGAACTATACTAAGTGACATATAAATCCGAACACCCAGTTTAAATGGTTTTATTTTAATAAAAGTTGGTGAATGTATTTATCTTACTGTAAATAACAAGTGAAAAAATTTTCAGCCTTATCAGTTGGACATTCCGGTTTTTATACGGCTTTTTTTAAATTCACTAACGCTCTAAAAATGAATATTTCAGCCGCAGTAAAGAATCAACGTTGGCGGATTTTGGTTCTTGACATCCTTTACGATCGGTTACGATGCCTAGAGTACGGAGACCTGTACGATTTCGTCAACTTAGTGAGTTTGATAGGGGCCGTATACTGGGACTTCGGGAAGCTGGACTTTCTTTTCGGGCAATTGCAGTTACAGTGCAAAGAAGTGTAGACACTGTGGTTAGGTGTTGTCAGGCATGGCTTCGAGAATGCCGTACGCAAAGAGCAAGGGGCACTGGACGCCGCCGTAGAACAACAGACCGTGAAGATCGCCGCCTAAGATTATTGGCCTTAAGGGACCGTTTCTCCACCAGGTCCATTGCAAATGAATGGTTTGCAGAACACGGAAGACCTATTGGCATGCGATGTGTTTACCGACGAATGAGAAGTTTTGGCTTGTTTTCATACCGGCCACACTGGTTCCTCCCTTTAACTCGAGAGCACCGACGTAATCGCCTTGAGTGGTGCAGACAACAGTCACTCTGGGATCAGGAATGAACAGTATTGTCTTTAGTGACGAGTCTCGATTTTGTTTAGGCATGCACGATGGTCGTGCCAGGGTTAGAAGGCGACGTGGTGAAAGGAGGAATCCACAGTTAGTTTTTTGTTGAAAGACATGTTCATCACACTGTTGGAGTTATGGTTTGGGGTGCGATAGCTTATGGTTCCAGGTCACCTTTAATCTTCATCAGAGGTAACATGAACGCGCAGCGTTATATCCACGAAGTTCTAGAACCCCATCTTTTACCCTATCTTGACACCCTGGCAGATCCAACTTTCCAACAAGATAATGCCCGACCACATGTTGCAAGAGTCACAATAGACTTCTTTCAACATAATGATGTCACATTATTACCATGGCCACCAAGATCTCCCGACTTAACCCCAATTGAGCACGTGTGGGATATGATGGGTAGGAGATTGCTCAATTTGCAACGTCCTCCTCAGACTCTAGAAGCACTTCGAGAGGAGTTGGTGGTTGCCTGGAATGAGATACCACAGGAGGACATTGACCACCTGATCAGAAGCATGCCTAGGCGCGTTGGAGAATGCGTAGCACATCAGGGTGCATCCACACATTATTAAAGGTCTAAGGGCTTTACAGCAGTGCAATCATTTTGAAATTTTAACTGTATACCTACTCGACAAGTATACTTGTACAAATATTTGATACATGTAATTCTCGGTACAAAAGGACTTGAACAGTAACATTTTAAAGCGTAATGAATGACAACCACATACACGCTTTGGCTGCTTTTGTCTTGATCGTAAGAGATAAAAAATACAAAAATATATTTGCCTTCCCTGACCATACACATGCAGTACATGTGCTTTTCCCAAGGCCGACTTGTAGAAGAGATAGGATTCTTACAAGTAAATTTTCGCTTACACACCTTCATCCATCTAAGTTTAAGCGCTTACTTTGACTGTTTTGGTTGCATGAAGTTTAATACAGTATGAGAATGTCGAACATACGGAAAACTAGCGCTTTCTGGGATTATCCCGATAAAGTTACTCATTAAAAGATTGACGAAACCATGGTGTAATTTGTGCCCTACACATAAAACTATTTCTTTGGAGAAAAATAGCGAACAAATCAAATATAAAGTGTTATTCTTCTAAATATCACAGATATGAGTATACCGAAATGCAAAGCAAAGTTTCGTTTTATTATACGCGTCAGAAATTAGGTTATTTCACTACAACTAAAATATATGTTTATGTATGTCAGTATAGAATTTTTGTCAATTCAATGATATTAAACGTTATTAACTCTATAACTTATATCGATTGGTCATATCATATGCCGATACAGTCATATCGGTCGATTCATATAAGTATTGGAAAAATAGGCCGATATTGCCGATATACATATCGGTATCGGTCAATCTCATGTATGTATAACATTCTCTACAGTTCTGTATATCATATTTCATACAATTAGCCGTTCCATAGGTAAAGTATGTATAGAGGCTTATTTTCATGATGTTTGATAAATTGTAGAATACAAAGAATGCATGTATGAAACATAAAGATGCAAGGTTGATATTTGGCTAAAGATATTACGTATATAATTGCTTGATTGGCCATCTATGCGTCTATGCGGAAAAGACAGTGGGCGATACATTCATTGTAGAAATGACACCAAATTATGACAGAGTGGTTGCAAGACCTAGATTGCAAAATGGCTGAAGAAAAAAGAAACATTTTATTATTTTAGACAATGCAAAAAGACATTCGCTTAAATAACATAAAAATCTTATGTTGGCTCCCTAATTGTACATCAGCTTATCGACCACTTGGCCCATGGATTATACAGAGTTTTGAAACTTATTACCGAAGTCTAATACTCAAACATCTTCTAGTAAACATTGAAACTGGTAGTACAGCTTTTGAGTTAATAAAGAAAATTACGTTATTGGATGCAGCTTATTTGGGACCAAGTAACCAAAGACACAGTGCAAAATTGCTTCTGCAAAGTAAGATTTGAGCATGACAATGTATAAAGCGAAGACCAGTTAAATAAGGCTGATACACCTGGCCCAGAAGATGACTTACCACTTAATGTACTTTCAGATATCCTCAAAAATAAGAATGTATTGTAATTGACTGATGATGAAAACCTTTATCATTTTTTGAACCTCGAAATTTATATACATATACGTTTTAAATATCCCAGTGTCTTTAATATATTCAGTTTTCATTAAAAACACGATTTTTGTTATATTTATTTTATACGGATACTTTCAGTCTGTTCCGTTGGTGTCCGTCCAAAGGAGATTTCACGGAATATCCTGTAATTTAAAAAAGTACTATTGATTTTACTTCTTACGCCACTGGAGTAGAAGTATTGTAATCGTGAAAAATTCCGAAAATCATATGTGCTTTGGATGTTATATAATATGTATGTACATCACGAAAAATCATGTCACTCATTTCTGTCGATACGTCTGTCCGCTAGTACTTGACCTCGCTTTAACTTGGAAAGTACCGGTCTGATTTTGATGAAATTGTCACGCAAGATTTCTTCTAGGTATGCCAAGGACAAAAAACCTTTATAGCTTTTGAAAATCTATCCAGTGGTGGCGGAGCTACATGCAAAAAAAGTTAAAAAAAGCGCTCAAACCTCGTTTTATGACGTTTCAGAAGAACTTGATCATTTTTAAAAGAATGTCAGAGGTAACCAACTGGGATGGGGGAGAGTATACCTGTATTTTTTGTCACATTGGCACACTTATACGACTTCATCCTCGGTAATTCTACACACCCTTATAGGTATATTTCACTACATTTATCCGTAAAACTTAGCATGATAGAGAAATATTTCAGACCCTCTCGTGATATGGACCGTCAATCGTGAACCATGCCAGATATAGATATAAGAGATTTTTTCGCGAGATCCCGTAGTGAACCGGAGCGGGAACAGATGGAATTTCCCCTTCCTCTCGAAGTTTTGACAGTTTCAAGTTACACTGGGAGTGGTTAGACTGCGCATGTTGCGCAAAATGTTTGCTTTAAGCTCCTTGATAAATTTAGCTGACTTGTTTGAATTTGAAATAAAAAGACCGATAATTTTTTGTGCAATATACATATATATCAATAAAATCAATCATTTGATATGACAGGTGCGGATCATATATCTTCGATGACCTTCTCCCTCGCCATTTAAAATCAGGTGGACGTGTTCCTCCATTTATGATTTAATAATTTAACTCAATTTTCAGCACTGCCAAGATAAATTTTCAATTGAAATGCCTGTTTTTTAAATGACATTGACATAACACCTGTCACCCGCTAGTACCTCGCAGACGTTAGGCGGGTACCCGTACCACGTGATTTTTTGACATTCGGACGACGTTACATCCGTCTTCCCCTATTCTCGTTCTTTGCGAAAATTTGAGTATCGGTTCCCGGTAGTGCACTGTGCTACACCGTGGACTCGCGAAAAAATCCTTATAGTTCCGATCATGTGCGCCCGCAGGAATTTTTCTGAAGGAAAGAGATAACTTTTGTATAAAGGCGTCTGTCTCCAATACTTTTTGAAGATCGAGGAATAGCATATCTCCTCAAGAACTCAAATCCTAAAGAGACCCAAAATTGTACGAAAGAAAAAACATGCTAAATATGCAATTTTTAATTGTATGAGTCTGTTTGACTAACTCCATTTAATTTTTTTGTTATACCTGTTTGTAGCTTACTTTTTCCTCAGAGGGGCCAACTTCTGTCGAACATCATCCTTTATGATCTGATGATAACGTTGCGTAGGAACGCATAGTCAACCTGCTTGACGTGATTTTTTTACTTAGGTAGAATCAAAATTTCTGCTTGAACGTTTTTTAAAACACCTTCAACTGGCGTATAATACTGTTGTCCAGTGACTCGAAGCTTTATGTGTTAATGTTATTTTTATAGAAAATTTGAACGACAACCTCAAAACCAGAGATATCATGATACCAATTATTAATTGTTTTGTTTAATTTGTTATAGGCCTCTACGACCTGTACGCTAAAATAGTTCCCGTCGAAGAAGCTAAAGGAGCACCAGTTTATCCAAGTACAGTTTGGGGTGCCACCTGTGATGGTACCGACCGGGTTTCTCCCGAGACAGTACTTCTTCCCGAGCTAGCGATTGGAGAATGGGTGGTTTTTGAAGAAACCGGAGCCTACTCTCTATCTATAGCATCAGACTTCAATGGATTTGAACTACCACATGTACATGGGATTGTTAACGGAAGAGATTGGTGAGTATCAAGATTACCGTTATTTGCAAGCTTTGATGCTGTTAAAAAAATCCATGAGACACACTGAAAATGATGAACATATATTGCAGAACTATAACAACGTATACAGGGTGTCCTAATATTCCGTGGAAAATGAACCACATATAACCAAAATAAGTCGATTCGACATGATTTACCTCTATGCAAAAGTGCCTCGTTTGTCCGTTAGAGGGCGTCAAAGCATTAACACATTTTTTCAGATATTTTTGGAACCGATAGACTGATTTGAATGAAATTTTAAACACGTGTGTTAGACGTCATTATATTTGAATTTCACAAAAAACACCGGAGGGATTCGAGAAAGGTGAAAACTACACCCACCCCTACATAAATTATAGCAGAATTTTTTTAACTAATATTTTGATTAACTTAATTTCTTGTCTGTTATAGAAAAAGGCCTTCTCGCATAGTTTTGGAGAAAACATGTTCTTCGGAGCTGGTTTCTAAACAATTTTCTTTTTACATCAAGTGTTTCCGCCGTATTGTTATGTGCAGGAACGAAAATAGCGGTCATATTGAATACCTTTTATTACCTGTATTAAATAAAATTGTATAAGTTGTATAATACTTGTTTACTTTTGCTAACTACACTTAAATAATTATTAAGACGATTGGGAACCTCTTGATGTAACTACATTTTTCTTCTCCAAAACTATACGAATGGCTGGTTTTTATAGGAGACAAAAAATGAAGTAAATAAAAAATCTGATAAATAGAACAATCAGAGTCGTCCGAAATGTTGCCACAACATTCTTCTATAATGTAGAGGTGGGAGTCGTTCTCACCCTTCTCGAACCCTTTAGAGCTTTTCGTAAAAGCCAAATATTAGAACGTGTAGCAAAACATATGTGTTCCAAACTTAATCGAAATCGGACTATCGCTTATTTGAATACCTTAAAGAATGTGTTTTAAAAAGAAAACTTTGATGCCCTATAAAGGACAAACGAAGCACTTTTGCATACAGATAAATCATGTCCAATCGATTACTTTTGAATCTAAAAATACTTGGTTCTTACATGTCCACGAAATATTGCAACACCCTGTATATATGAGCAACAATTTAGGGAGGACTTGATGATAAGATAACAAAAGATACGAGGGTAAATCAAATATAAGAGTTCTACACACTTTTGACGCCGGTTTGGAAGTTTCAGTATTCCCTGTTTATAGAATGTTTGAGGGCGCATTGTGAGCTAATCACGCACAAGCTCTTCATCGTTCTCCAAATCGTTATCCTCTCAGTAATTCCTTCATAGGCACGAACAAGAAATACTCACAGGGGGACTAGTCGGGACTATAAGGGGGATGCTCAAGGGTTTTCTAGAGTCAAAATCGTTACAAGGGCTTTTCCAGCAGAGAAACAAGTCTGGACATCAACTGGGCAATCTTCATTCTTTCTCCTCCACACCTTACTTGCCACTTTGGAAGCGGGCGAAGGGGGAGGGAGAAGGTCACGATACGCTTTAAAAACGAATCTCCCCTTTGCGCTGAAATCGAAACCTTCCAGCGATCTCCGAGCTCACCTGTTTTCAGTCAACAAGAGTTGATCAGTGACTATAGATGGAACATTTGAATAGCTGATACCCACTTCTGATGGAATGTCTTCCACGGTTAGCCGGCGAACACAATAAGCTCTCAAATGGCATGAATATTGTCACATGTAAAGCTTGTCCTTGGGCGTCGATCATGAGTTTCGTTTTCAACCTGTTCTCGTCTGTCCTTGAGTTTTCTCGCACACCTAAGCACTCGATTCCGAGTGTACTGTCCCCAAACTGTGCTCGCAAACGAGTTAAAATTTCCGACGGTTTAACGCCTTCATTTGTTAAAAACCTCACTATAATCCGTTGAAATTTCGTAGATTCAAGGACAAAATCGTTAGGAGGAAAAAATGAGGGCTTTCTCAAGATCAGTGATGGATTGCGTCACGCAGCGCCCTCTGTGAAAACATCATTTTTTGTATTGCACGCACATCCACAACACATGTTATATTTTTTTTGAGGGTATCTGTTCTTGGAAAAATCCTAATTTCTTTATTACAACTTGTACATTGAGGATACTGGTCGCCCTTCTTTGCAACCATCATTGAAACTCCTTTTGTCATTCTTGTTTATAAGATTTTGAATGAATACCAATATATAATTGTAGGCAATCCAAATCTACGTCCCTCGTGTGCCCGACTGCATAAGTGTACGCTTAGGTTTAACTAGTATGGAGTATAAAACTCTATAGACTATATAGCATTAATTGTTTAGCTTAATTTTTGGTTCAAGCCTTTTGTCGGCAAAAAACTGTAAATATCTTAATTGTTTTAAAAAAATCGTGGAAAATGAGGACGTTCTCCAGGTTTCCCCACTGCTTATAAACCAAGCATCTACTCCACACAACATAATCTAGAAAGTAACTGCATTCTTAGAATAACCGAACAATTACCGTTTATATTTGATTCACCCTCCACCTTTTTATAATGTATCTAAGAAGAAAATTCTAATTTTTCATGGCTTTTACATTGTATCAACTGACCGTTGTCACATTTTTAGGAAATTTCTCACAGAGGCAGCAGAACGGCCAATGTCCAAAGAAAAGTTTTCCGCAGGAGATTATCCAGAAAATTATCTCACTGGTCTGATGAAGCCAAGCAAGTTTGATACAAACTATTTTTGAAAATAAATTATTTATCCTATATAATAAATAGTTTTAATCCACAACTTTCACCCATATTATTAGCATGTGCACAATAGTTGAACTTCCCTACAACTTGTCTACTTGCTGAACTACCAGACGTGACCTGTGGACGGGACGGACTGACGACAGACACCAACTTTGCAGTGACTATAACCTGAAGACTAAGGGTACGGACACATTGAAGCAGAACACCTCACCATGCACCTCGCCATATTAGTACATCTACATCATGACATGACACTATTGTTCCTTCTAGAGTCGCACTTTGTTGGACAAATAGTGGATATGTCGAATGTTAGTGAAACAAAGAACTTTCAATTGAGTCTTGGCGATCTTAGTCATTGAGATGCTTCACCATGTCCGGCAGGGTGGCAGGGTTATTACGAAAAAACCGACAAAATGTCAACTTGCTAACTAGACAGCTCCTAGTGGGCAATAGTTCATTCCGCTCTTGCACGCTGTGAATGCTGTGAGCGTCACCAGTGGGGGTTGTTGGTTGCAGACGGCAGAGACAGCCTGTAGAGTATATCTTTGAGATGTGACAGAGCGAAAATTGGTTTAGTAACAGAGTAGCAAGATCGCGTCTGGATGATTCTGTGATGATTATGTGTATAAAATATATAATATTTGCTATGTGAGAAAATGATTACTGAAAATGCTGCCCGTAAGGTATACCTATTGGCTGTACCAGAGGAGTTACTTGTGTTGTCCTTTCTGAAGAGGGGTTATGTTCAATACCATAAATCATGATTTTCTCCGTTTTTTGCGTTTTGAGAAGCATTACGAGGATCACGCCGCACCCGCGTTGAGTGTAATTAAGCCACACCACACGCAAACAATTTTCGCCTTACATCTAGGCGCTGATTTTTATTTTCTATTTGACACCGCAAGTTGCATTTCCATAAAATTTAAATCACTGGAAATAAGAAATAATGTAAGAAGTAATAACCTTTTCACGTTTCATAAATATCCTTATCTGGAGCCTATTCTCTCACCTTTTAATTGTTATCTACTTCACCAACCAGGGATTTTCTTTTTTTATCTCTCTTATTTTTGAAATTTAGTAAATTTGCTTATGTAATTTTCAGGATGAAGCTTAGATCTCAAGTAAGTGTATTTGAGGCAAGAAACAAATGGTATCATCAGTACAGATTATTATCACACAAACCCTCAAGAAGTACCTATGCGCTACAGTTTCACCCGTTTCATTCCAGCTATAGTATACAACCTACAGCTTAGGACCGTATCGTCAGTCGTCCCTACAATTGTAGGGCGCGTTTATGGCCTCCTTGATTGTCATATTCCTTTCTCTCCTTCAAACATTTCTAGATTACACTTGTCCGGTATCAGCGTCAGCGGTCTCCTATTGTGAAGATATGTTTTCTTTTTAAATTGTAGGAAATTTCAGGCTGATAAAACATGATATAACTCAAAAGCAAGCACAATTTGATGCAAATAGATGTTTGAGACATAACCTCAAAATAGAGCGCTGACACGCAGAAGTAGAAAACTATGACAATCAAGGAGGCCATAAAGGCGCCATACAATTGTAGGGACGACTGACGATACGGGCCTTAGACTTACATATCTGAAGCAGACGGCTATGCAACTAGTGCACATCAAGTAAACGACAGCTAGTTCCAAGTTGACATCTCATAGGAAAGTCTACATAATGTCACAAAAACCCATATAATGTCAAAAAAAAACCGACATAAAGTCACTTTTAAAGATACTTAATACCCCTACCGGCCACCTTGAGAAGCAAGGAAATGTAGTACAAGAAGGTCGCTGATATGAATAAAGTTCGTTGATGGATTTTAGTGAACTTGGGTTGAGCTTATTAATAATAAAAAACCATTTATTGCTCGACAGTACAAATACCATTTAGAGAGCAATACTTAGATTTAATTTAACAGTCTGGTCTGTGTGGAATATAGTGAAAAAAAAATAGAAAAACGCTTTTAGTAGATAGAAAAGAAAAAATAAATGAATATGATTAATAGATAATAGCAAAAAAGAATATATACCTTCATCATGTAATGTTCACACATAAATATGTATATGTATAACAAACGGAAACGTTTATAAAAAGAGGTTAAAGAATGTCAACGTTTTTAGCGTAAAGCACTTCTCAATTCCTGAAATCTACAACAGAAGATATCACAAACATTGCCAATCCTATTCACATTATTACACATACAGTTTATTGATGCTATATTATATGGATGTCAATCTAGGTACCAGGAAAACAATTTGCGATAGCAAAACAGGACAGTCGATGTTACCATTCAGTAATTTGTATAAAAATATGATCGACGCCTGCTCTCTGCACTTCTCCGGGAAAAAGGGACACCAAATCTATTCAATAATAATAAGTAAAACTCCCATAGACATTTCAGAAATTTGTTTGCACTTTCTCAATATTATTTTTGTAGACTTCATAGATAAGGCTCTAAGTGATTGCACCGTATTATATTTTACTTATAATAAGCACTAAAGATAACTTAATAAGCGTTTTGGTATTGGAATATCTACAATTTCTGATAGTAAAGCCATGTGTACGTTACTGATTACTTATAATTCCACCTATGTGATAGTTAAAGGTAAGCTGACGATCGAAAGGCATGCCTAAATCTTTGAAAGTTTCACAGTTTTCCAAAACAGAATCATTTATTTTGTATGGGTAAGTTAAAAAATTTACTTTTCCGGGTGAAGGTTACAATGCGTTACTTAGATGTGTTTCAATACAAATTGTTATTGATACGCCATATGTGTAAAAAAATTATTTGTTGCTTTTAATTTTCCCAACCTTGCCAGCTAGAAACGTATATGTAAAGCTTCAGGTCATCAGCAAACATACGATTGCCGCATGATAGTGAAAGAGCTTTACAAAGTTATTCAGTATAGTGATCGCTCTATAATTATTTACTAAGGTTCTGTCTTGCGACTTGAAAATTGGGCATACATAACAGGAAAAACTGATGAACGTAGAATTAAATTGAAAATTGTCAATAAAAACCATACACAGTCTTTAATGAAAAACGACGGAAGTTGATCTGGCCCTGATGTAAATTTATTTTTGGGTTTCATTGCAGCCTCTAAAATCTATTTTACACTTATTGACTGGCACGTTATATCAATAAGGATATTATTGTTAACCTGGCGGAGAATACACACACTGAAAGAATTCAGCAAAAGCATTAACTATTGGAAGAACATTTTACTAGGAATTCTAGATGGGTTTGTTATTCTTATTGTGTATGAATGACCAAAAAGGTTCAGGTTCATTAATAAGCTGGTTTTGAACTGTTTGAATGTAAAGTTATATCAAGCAGGCTTGATTTTTATATATTTAGTGCCGTATCGTCAATCGCATTTTCATAGTTTTTTCCTGTTCTTCAGAAATGCGCTCTATTTTGAGGATCTCACCTACCAAGGCACCACGAATTTCTTTCGTGGTTATCGGTTGAGGCAGTAGGAATTTCGCAGCTCCTGGATGGCATAAACACCTACCGGTGGAAGAAATTTACAGTTACCACCGCCACACTAAAGTATAAGCTGTTTTTGTTCGGACGGGCAAAAGCATCATGTTTAGCTTACCTTTAGCTTACTTGTCAGTGATTTGTTCGTCACAAAAATAATGGCCATCAAATATCAATTAATGTATTCTAAAGTGAGGCGTCTGCTATAAGGAAATCGTTACAAATGATAGTGACAAATACAGGAAAAAATACTGAATTGTATGGGTCTGCATGTATGATGTTTGACAATCCACAAATTGGATAATATACTGGATGTCCCTTTGAAAATGCGCAGCATCAGGTACAATGGGAAGTGCTAGTATTCCGAAAATGGTTCATTCGTTTTGCGCTCATTAATTTTCTTGATCCTTTTCTCGTGATCATCTTAAGCCAAATCAAACTCTAGCACACAATCACAGCTTTAATTCGCGGGCCAGAGCGTGTATGGCTCGCTGGCTAATTAGAATGCCAGAATTCGAATTTCGACCACTGATATTTGTAATGACACGGCATAAATGAGACAGGGATTTATTTGAACAGATGCCTAGCAAGTTCATTCACACATTTTGACTTCACCAACCGACCGTTTATATCCGTGCAGTAGTGTTGCCGAGCCTACCCATTTTTCGGTAGGAAATACCACGATATTTTAAAATAATTCAGATATGTCTACCGTAAAAGAGCTGGAACCAAAAATAAAGCTAAAAAAATTAATCGTGTAAGTGTTACCCCATACCAATCATACATTTTATTATAATAATAATGATGATAATAATAATAATAAAAGATATTTAATCGAATATTAACGTACAAAACATCTTATTCCTGATAGGCAGAGCCTAGATAAATCTATTCCACTCAATGCGCACTTATGCGCATACTTAAACAGTCAGGCACACGAGGAACGTAGGATTTTGTTGCTTATAATGCACATCCCTTACTCCAGTTTCTTGTATTGGTTTTTGTGCATACAAAAGGTACATACTGGTAGATCAACTTTATTACCGTATCACCGGACAAGCAATACGGAAACCAAAGATGGTCGGTTTTCAATCAAATATTACACACAAATTCCAGGTGAAACTAGAGGTATACCGGCCACCATCGGGGCCCTTATGCACCACTACATCCCTTGGTCCTTCTAGCTATATTGAGTGAAGACCTGAGTCCCAGCTCCTTAACACGTTCCCTGCCAACGTGCTATGAACGATTTGTTCACCATGCGCCAAAAGATCTTTTCATCCCTAATTGATGTATTAGAATAAAATAAATATGTTTTAACACTGTATATTATCTATAGTGATAATGATCCCATTTTTAGAGCTTTCGGTCAAAATGACCGACGCGGCGTGCAAGGTTAATTTGGTATCTCTGCGCCGCGTCGGTCACTACTTCGGTCACCTAACCTTTAATTTTACACGCGGTCGGAAGAATAGGGTTAGCCGGCAGAGAGGCGAGTTTGCGCTTATCTTGTAAAGTTGGACCAGCGAAAGATTGC